ACCACGACGACCAGGACGACGAGACGAAGAGATCGCCGTCGAGATCGTCGCCGCACACGCCCACACGCGCCGCCGGGAGTTCGCTGCTGCTGGGAGTCACTCGCGCGCGTGAGAGCGTGTGGAAGCTCCGATTTCTGATCGGTCAACGTCGTTGACTTCGCCGTGACGTCAGCTTTCTAGATTGGTCAAGTTTGTTCGATTCCGAGAAGATTTGATTTGCGGTCAACTGTTCGGGCCAACCAGATCTACATAAATTTTAAGCAGTAAGTTTTCTTCATCAAACCTTTAGATCCGCTGCGCATAGGTTTATGTTGAATGTTTGTCCGTGATTTGTGCATATCGAGATCCTCATGGGTTCCAACACTGTCCTGCTACACACTACCCCGAATGGCGATGTCCTCAAGTACAACAGATTGACGGTTCGTCCACAGGTACAGCAGACTGGAAGTTCATCCGCAGGTACAACAGATTGGCAGTTCTTCCGTATGTGATGCAAACTGGCAGTCTGGCTGGAATTGGTTATAACGGTTTTGCCGTCGGTGCTAGTAATATTTGTAATTCGCCGTCACTGGCACAAGACATTCAAAAGGTTTAGAGCTTACTCAGACTTAATTCTAAAGTTCAAAACCTAGCCTTGTGGCAATAGTTATTACATATGCTTGGTCAGAACAGAGCTGATAAGGCGCTAGCCATCTGATGCTTTACAAATTTCTCGACAAGTCGCTCAATTTTAACTTAGTTTGGCTAGAGTTCTGGTTTAATCTTGAGTTCTTAAACTTACCTTTTCTAGAGTTCAGACTGGAATTCTGGCTTAACTTACTTTCTACAGTTCTCAGACTTAGCCTTTTCTAGAGTTCTGCATTCTTACCGAAGGATAGATCCTAAGCCCTTAGATTTCTTATGCTATTCTAATCACGCACTTGCTATAATAGGAACTCTTTTAGGAGCCTTACCTCGAAGTCGGCGCGGCGTGAGCATGGTGTGGTCATAATAAATACTTAGAACAACTAACTGAGCTCTGATACCAAACTGTAACACCCCGCCTACTTACTAATAGACTTACGAAAGTCGGAGTAAAATAAATCATTTTATTTTTGAAAACAAGACTATAAATTTATCTAAACACTTTAACTTGCTTGTGGGATGCTACTTTACTTTCCTGCTTACTTATTTACTTACACTTGGACCCTCTTGTTTAAACACTTGGTTAACTTTATGAAAACTCTTATCTTATCATTTTTCTTTTCATAGACATCCAAAACAAACAAGCATGCAATCTTAACCAAACCTAAGTCAACGGTACCATCTTCAACTTTTACATGTGTCAAGGTTGGTTCTGCTTCTCGAATCAAGGTTGTTGCGAGCCGTTGGATCTTCTGGCGACCGCTACCGTCTGTCGTCGGTGTATTCTCGTATTATTGGAACTTTCTGGGGTGACGAATTATTCTTAGTAACTTTGAAAATCGTGCAGTAAGAATAACGATCTCTCTCTCTATTTCTTCTTCTGTTATTGAAGTGACTCGTCCCGCGGTCATCGTCGTAACTGTACACAAGATGCTTTCTTTCGTCTATAGCATCTGCTCACTTAGCTTCCGAAAATACTAAATTACAGCAACAATTTGCTTTTCGTGGCCTTTTGTAATTTTGAAACGTTCTAGATATTGCAACAAGAATTTAATCGAGGCATATAGAAAAGCATTCAACATTTTTGGTCTCATTTTCAATTCAACAGAGTTTCAAGACATGCAAAATCCAACAAGAAAAGGTTGCCATCCGAGTTTGCAGAAACAAAAAATACACCTAAATAAACTACACCTGCCTTCTGGAGTCTTCGGGAGTCGGCCTCTACTGGTTCAGTTGCAGTGCACGTTTTGGACATTGGAAGGCCTTGTGTCCCAGCTTCTTGCACTTGTTCCTTATTTTCTGGCGACCCTCTCTATGGTTCCGCCCACAGGTAGTACAGATGAGGCATTCGTTCGAATCTCATGCACGTATGGCATTGACAGGCTCGGTGTCCTGGCCTTCGACAGTGGTAGCATATGTCTTATCCTACTAAACACTCTTCGTAATGGCGACGTCCGCAGGTACTGCAGACTGGCGGTTCATCGGCAGGTGATGCAGTCTTGCAGTCTGGCTATAATTGGTTATAACAGTTATTCCGTTGGTGCCCGACTTGGTAATTTCTTGTGCCAGTGATGCCGAATTGCATATATTACCAAGGCAGGAATCGACGGCAGCACTGTTATGATCAATTCCAGCCAGAATGCCAGCCACTATCAGCCTGCATCCCAAGTATCTCTAGCTTATCTACCAACCACAACCTAAACTAAGGGATATATGTTGTTGTTAGGATAAACACCTACAACAGTAAAAAGAATACTCTTATGGGGTCCAGTCAAATGACAACCATCAACCCCTACTATTGGCATAAACCACTCCTAAAACCTTCCTTAAGTGAAGTAAAACAAACATAATATTTGGAGAACCTAGGAACACCGCCATCTTCTTCAACACCTAGAATCACAGTAGAACTAGGATTTGTATCCCTCAGTTGTTGGGCATAATCCCACAACTTTTTATACTATGAGTTTGGATTACCCTCAAGTACCTCTAGATTTCTCTTCTTGGCCCTATAAGCCGGGTGCATGGAAATTCCAACCCCCAACTCATGAACCACCTCTCTTCTAAAACCCTTTACTTTTCTTGGGATATCAGTTTGAAACTTGCTCATGCACCTCTCAGACAACCACTTTTTTTTAATATTTATAAAATGAGAAGATGTAGGGCATGTATGAGTGGGGTTGTAAGTGGTTATCTTGAAGGCTTCCTAGTCAAGAATCTTCTGTGCATGCATTTTTCACTCACACCACTCCGAACCACAGACTACATAAACCCTAATTTTTTTTTATTTTTTTTTTCTAATTCACACTTCTTTTAGACTTAATAGCATGTGACTGCACAACTTTTTAAACTCTTCTCTAGTATCAAAGACCATTCCTAGTGCAAAAGTTGAATCATATATATTGCTAGGATTTAAGACAATTTCCCTATTTAATTGTTTCATTATTTGGACAATACTCATCAAAATCAAGTGGAGTTTCAATCAAATATTCTTCCCCACTATCAGACTCTAACCCTAATTTTTCTTCAAAATTAGGGTTTACAAAAGAGCTCTATTTTGTATTCAAAATTAGGGTTTGTAAAAGAATCCTATTTTGGTGAGACAATTACGGGCACGGTGCCATAAGTTTTTCTTTTCATACTGGACGAGAATATATTTTTGATACCAAATCAAACAATTGTTTTTCATTTACACGAGATTATACTTATTTCACTTCCATCCAGTGTTTTAAAACGCGTATAGCGTTATTCATCGCGTTTTGGTCTCAACGTTGCGTAGCGTAGATAGCGTAGCGTATAGCATGGGTAATTCGAGCAAGTCATGTTTAAATAAAAAATAATAAATATATATATTTATAAACCAAATAGATAATAAAATAAATGAACTTAAATACTCCTCAATCACAAAATTAGTATTAATATACAAAATAACATTCAATAAGTCAATTAGTTAAGTCTATGTTTTCAATAAATTTGGTCCAATTACTTTTCTTTTTCTTTTGTCTTGTCCAATCATCCTTTCCCATACCCGTTCCTCTATTTTCTTTATTAAAAAAAATGCAATTAATAAGCTTTAAAAGCCATCTGCCTCGAAAAAAAAGCCATTTGTCTCTAACTTTCCCAAAGTTCAATAATTGAAGAGAGCGAAGTTTTTGTCTCTCAAAAAGAATAAAAATTATTCAACAGTAAATTAGCAGAGCTTCGTCAATATAACCCTCTTCTTCGAAAATTTGCAAAGCCTCGATATGGTCAATCTTGATGGCGGACTCCTCCGGCACGAAATCCATGCGGCGCTGGCGCTCCTCCTCTTCAGCCTAAGCGAGATGCCGTCGACGGCATCTCTCTTCTTTTTTCTCTTTTTTTTTTTCTCTCTCTTGTCTGTTTAGCTTTTCAAATAGCGTGAGTAATTTGTGCGATTGCGTAAACAGCGTAATGAATATCGCATATAACCTGCCACGTCATATTTAGCGGCCGCTTTTTGGGAAGAACGCAAATTTACACACGCTATGTTGCGAGAACAGATGAAATATAGCAAAAATGCTATTGAAAACACTGCTTCCATCTAATTCCACCTTTGTTCTTATAAATATTAAAATCATTTCAATTAATTCCCCCACCCCTCATTTGTTTCTGGCGGAGTCAAATATCAACCAAACACGCCCAACAAGGAAACACACCCATCTTCGTCACCGACAACAATGCACGCAATACGTTCCGACATGATGAAGATGGTAAACGGATCCAAAGTCACAAGAGCTTCTCCGCCTTCACCACGCACCACCGGCGGGAGATTTGCAACCTTAGCGAACTGTCGCCAAGGCCACCTTTGATTCGAGATCTACTCCATGTCCGGCTCCTTCCTCCTGCCGTCGGCGCCACCTGCCGCCTTGAGATCAAAGTTGTGTTTTTGCTAATTATGGAAGTTTCGTTGATTAATATTTAAATCTATGAGTTGTTAGGATTTATTTTAAATTTTTGCTCAATTTTCTTTGCTATTTGAAAGAGATCTTGAAATTATTGCCCATGAGTTGCTGGGATTTGTTTTTAATTGATGCTCAAGTTTTCTTTGGTATTTGAAAGAGATTGTGAAATTATTGCATGTGACTTAGAATTTTGA